CTGGCTCACGGCAGGGAGAGGTTCCCCCAGCTCCTTCCTGACCATGACCCAGCACTGTCCTGTGGGGGTAAATGGAAACCTGGGAAGTTCACATGGCTCCTTTGCTCCTTCATGTCATCATACAGTAAGTGTGTAAAGGTTGGTTGGTTATTGTTGGTCAGCCTTGCTGTCCTGACTGGACTGCCTTGGTACATGATGGCTCAGCCACTGTGCCACTGTTTCTTGTTCTCCATGCTTTGGGAATAAGCATGGAGAAAATCCTACACTGGACTGTTCTAAATGCTTTGCAAAAAGTATCCAGTTAACAAAATTCTAAGGTAGGCACCACCCCTATTCCCTTTTTGTAATTGGACAACTAAAACAGAAGGGTAAATAACTTGTTTGGTATTTCACAGAGAAGTGGGAAAAGAAAGATTCAAAACTCAGACAACAAAGGCCCCAACTCTGTGATTCCCCCCTCCGGGAGGCAGCATAACTTCTTTGCTTTCCTTAAGCAACCTGCTCGTCTTCACCTGTGGCTTCTGACATCGTCCCTTCCATCACACAACTGTGCACTCAAAATCAGCACTGTCATTTCCCTTTTCAGCCCTCTGCATACTAGTCCCGTCTCTACATTTGTACCACTGTCTAGTCCACCAGTCATATCAAAGATCAGATCAAAGATCATTTTCCCTTTCCTTTCATGTTGTTCTTTTGTGTGCATGGCATGTACCTGTAATGTGTGTGCGCGCATCACCTTTTTCTTTTCTTTTTTGATGTAGGGTCTCTCACTGAACCTCAAGCTCACCAGCTGACTAGGCTGAGTGCCCAGTAAGCTCTAGGGATCCCCCTGTCTCCACCTACCAAGTGCTGGGATTTCAAGTGTAAGTTGCTCTGCTAACATTGTATGTGGATCCTGGAGATCCAAAGGTAGATCCTCACACTTGTGTGGGAAGCACTTGAACCACTGAGCCACACTGCAGCACCTTCAAAGAAACTGTCCTTGATCCTCGGTCCCTGTTCTCTTGACGCACCCTCTACCTGTCCTTTGAGCATCACAGTTACAGTCCAGTCATCACATTTTAAATATTCTTCCCTTCTAATCTCAAGTTCCGTTCAGACGGAGTTCATGGCTGTCTATCATCATTGTACCTCTCTGGAGAATTCATCACAGTAAGACTTTTTATGAGAAAGTGCATAAACTTTCTCAGAGACATGGACAACATGTGACTTAGAGGGATTTTGTGATGAGAGAAAAAGTGTGTCCATCAGCATGTACAACCTAGTACCATATATACATATATATACACACACACATATATATACATACATATACATATAATGTATATACACATATGTATGATATATATATAACGCTGCTTAATAAATAGTAAGATTTGTGTGTGTGCCATTTGTGTTTGTGTATAAGTACACATGTGTATTTGTGTGTGTACATATAGAAATTGGAGGTTGAGATCTGCTGACTTCCTCAGTTCTCCTCTTTATTTTGGAGACAGGCTATCTCACTGAATCTAGAGCTTACTGATTTGTTCACACTACCTGGCCGAGATCTTCAAGGATCCTGTGTCTCTGCCTGCTTAGCACTAGGAATACAGCTACGTACTACCCATACCTGGCTTTTTATGTGGCTGCTGGGGATCCGAATTCAAGTCTTCATGCTTATGCGGCAAGCTCTATACTGACCGAACCCTCTCCTTAGCCTCCCCAAACAATAGATCTTATTAGAGAGACTAGAAAAAGGTTTATACTTCAAAATGTCCCTACTGAAACGTGTGCAAGTCATTACAAATTCTGGGCCTTGGGAAGTTAGCTGGGCCGTGTGGTTGGATTGGGCAAATGAAATGCAAAAGGAAGTGACAAAGAGACAAAACTCTACTGTCATCAGGATCTTTGGTGTCACTGGCTGGCTCCTCAACACTTTCCTTCCTCTCTGCTATGATGCCCAAAAGGACCAAGCGTGGCCTGCTACCTTAGACAGGAGGTATGTGAGAGTGACTTACAGTTCAGCTTTTAGTTATAAGGCAAAGATGTAAAATGTAACCATCAAATAAAACTTTGGGGCAAGTTAATGAGATATTAGGAATTAAAAAAATCATAAAAATTACTGTAAGCTAATTGACACACAACCTTAATAGGGGGTATACAGTGACTCATTTTTACTCCCCACTTTTCTCTTGCCACCAAGAGTCATTTTTAGTCAGAAATAGTGTTTTTATTACTTCTTTGAGACTTTCATACAACGCATTTTGATTGCATTCACCTCTCCCAACTCTCTCAAACCCACAAATTCCAGTTTGTATTGGCTAAGTGAGCTTGAGTATGGAGACTACCCTGGGGAAATGGTCAACCTATCTGTGGCCACACAATTAATGAGTATTGACTCTTCCTGCACTAGCAGCTATCAAATGCTAATAGCTTCTCAGCTAGAGGTGGTGGACTTTGTGCCCACCTACCTTCTCTGTGCTGGGATTTTGTCTGCCTGTAACTTGTGTAGGCCTTGTGCATGCTGTTCCAACTGCTGGGAGTTCAGATGTGTGACTGCCCTGCTGTGTATGGGAAACACCATTTCCCAGAAGTCATCTATCACCCCTGGCTCTCCCAGTCTTTCTACAGCCTCTTCCTGGAAGATTCCTGGAGCCCCGATGAAAGGAGTGTGCTGTAGACCTTCCACTTAGGGCTCATAACTCCATAGTCTCTCGTTTTCTGCATGTGACTAGTTGTAGGTTGTTTTTGAAGGCATACTTTTTAATATCAAGTGTGCTCTTAAAAATTGAAGATACAGGGGCTGGTTAGGCAACCCAGTAGTTAAGAGTACTTGCTGTTCTTCTAGAGGACCAAGACTCTATTCTCAACACCCACATGTCAGTTCACAAGTGTTTAATACTGATGCTTCTTCTGGCCTCTGCAGGTACCAGGCATGGTACAGAGACATACCTGTAGACAAAGCTCCCAAATAAATAAAATGAAAAATAGAAACATAAAAGTGGAGATGAATATATAAATGTACATACAAGATAGAAGAAATTGACATTTGTCAACTATGTATAATATGTTAAGAAATTTTAGGGACTGCGGATGTAGCTCAGTTGCTAGAGTACTGTTTAGAGGCATAAGGCTCTAAGACCAATACCCAGCACAATATAAACTGTACAAGGCAGCCCGTGCCTGTAATCCTAACACGTAGGAAGCAGAGGCAGGAGGACTAAGGATTCAAAATCATCCTCAGTTATACAGTGAGTTTAAGGCCAGCCTGGAATAGCAAAGCCCTGTCTTTAACATTTTTTATATGTACTTCATGAGTATATACTCATGCATATATAAGAGCATGTAGGCAAAGCTCCCATACACATATAAGTATATACTTATGAAGCACATATTTTTTTAAGAAAACGAGTCTTCAACCTTGTGACATTGGTTCCATTATAACATCCTTTTCATAGGTAGGAGTATAAGGCTCAGAACAGTTAAATCTATTGATTTTTAGTAAAACAACTAGCAAAAGACATAACCAGAAATGGGGCCACATGTTTGGAGCCAGAGAGTGCTCCTAATCACCACACATTGGTGAGGTAAGGTTAGCTGTGGCTTTCCCTATTTCCCTGATCTCTTCCAGGCTTTCACCCATATATCTGGCTCTGTGTTTTTTATTTAATAAGACTGTTTAGAAATTCATCTACAACACCCCACTAGGCCACATGCATTAGTGTACACATTTGCAGACCTATGTAGAAATACGAACACTCGTGAAATGCCAAGAAGAATACAGATTAAATATCTGTTCAGTATCATCAAACAGGAAATAAAGAGAATGGGCTGTGTTGAGAATCTTCCTAGACCCCAAGTTCTGTCATTTAACTTCATTTTTATTCTACAGTAAATTTGATCTAGTCAAAGAAAACCTTGCTTATTGGTGTCTCTTTCTTCCTGCCCTAAGGGGGTAGAAGGGGAGGGCCATAATTTGAACCTGCAAAAATACACTATCCTACGTTGCTCTTAGAGGCCTCTTTTAGCAGTGATTCCCTTTACTTTATGTTTTAAGGATACTCTACAGTGGCCACTGTCAATTACCAGACTAAAATTAGATGGATGACCCAGTGTTAAGAGCCAACCCCCAACTTTTCTGAATTCTCTGTGATAATTCATACAAAGATTTGTGTTTTCATTCTGGTAAAAGTGTCAAAATGAACATAGACACAGTTTGAATTATTTAGGAAGCAAATGGGAAAGTTGAGCAGAAGTCAAAATTTTAGAGTAGTTGGCAGCAGTGAGTGAGCTCTAAGTAGGTTAGACCTGGTTGCAGTTTTTACCCTGTCTCTGTATGTGTCTGAAGCATTTAGGACTTTAAAAATTTACAGTTTTTTAAGCTGTAAATCGAGGATGAAAACCCTACATTACAGGTAAAATGAATTTAATAATGTCTTGAAGTAGTATATGGCACATTCATAAAACATTATTTATAATTACTCATTTGTGAAAGAATAATTTGGATTAATTTCACACAGTAAAATATTGGCTAGTTACCCACTGACCCTCTCCCTAAGGACTTTTCATAGGTCAATGATACTGTGAGTGTGACGGCTGGAAACTGGTGCTTTTGCAAAAGATCTGCACTATCTAAAAAGCTGCTGAAGCCCAGCACCCACCTAGTGGGACTCTATAAGCAAGGCATAGACAAATGGATATCCCAAGGAGAACACTACCTTAGCATAACAACAAAAACAGGTAAATCTGAGCAATAAAACAGAGCAAAACAAATAGATTCTATAAATGTAAAGTGAAAACCAAACCACTCCTGCAATTATAGCACTCAAATGACTTATGCCTTTAATTTGTCTAAATCAGTGACCCATGGAGTATTGGCATAAAAATTTCAAATTCAGCAGAAACCTAAATCACTGTAAGGAAACACTGCATTTTTATTAGTTAGCCTTCTTTCATTGACTTCTTCCAAACAAAATGAATCCTTCCTCGAGCGAGGCAAAATGAAGTATTGTACTTACTGAGATATTATTGATCCCTGAGTCTTAGGATCCAATACGTCACAGACACATAGAAGCACTCCTTGCCTGTGAAATCGACGGCTCAGAATTATGTTCATGAAATCTTTGCTTCTGTGGAACATTAACCCCAAGTTCTAGCCCAGATTATTTGACAGGAAGACACTAAAATAGACTGTGGCAAATTCAGTATAACACAAAAATAAACACAAAATTGAATAAATCTTCCAGGGAAGCTAGTTATAGATAGCTCATAGAATCTACAGATGAGATGAACATGTATACTCGAGAAAGTCCAGTAAATGGGGCCAAGCCCTGGGGTCTAGGAGACACAGACTGAGAGATGCAATAAAATCCCAAAGGTAGATTCTGATTTTGAATTACATTCATTGACGTTCACATACCTGAGGGGAAAGTGCTGACTGTCCTTTGAGATACAGGAGGTCATAAAGAAAGAGAGTGTTCCCCATATTGGAGACCCCTGCCAACTTCCAGAAATGATTCAAACCCTGTGAAGCAAAATCTTATTTTAATTCACAGAGACCCATGTTACAATCTTGCCCTACACAGCTGTGAGGCAATAAATTTGTGTTGTTTTAAGCTACTATTGTGCTTGTGAGAATGGTTATGAAATCAAGAGAAAGCTAGAACTGCCATTTTGGAAGTTATTTATTACAACACACATTAGTACGATATTAGAAATTCAACAGGTGCTCAGTGTCATCATAGGCTAAATGCAGTTGCACAAAGATAAACAAAACCTCCAACACAAAATACACTCTTTGGTGGTCCTGCCAGGTTTTATGGATAACTACCTCCAGGTTTGATATGTAGATGAGGTTGAAAGGAATGATGAAGAAAAGGTGCCAGTGGGTTATACTCTCATCTTTATGCCCTCCCCACATGGGGCAGGAGAGAGCTGTGCATCCTCCTTGACCCCAGATGAATTCAACACAAAGGAAACATTGGAGATGGATGTCTGTACCTTCTGAGATTGGCTCATAGACTTAAGAAAAAAAAAGTCTGGCTTCATGAATGTGATGTGAAAGAGTATCTACCAAAAAGGACTTCTAGGTGGGGTGGAATGATCCAGAAAGGGCTGGGAGACCAGAAATTTTGGGGATAGGAAACTTGAATGTGGTCAGTTGGAAGGGGTCATCACTAACGTTCTGGGAGCAGTGGTTAGAAGCCACCATAGGAAGGTCCCTGGGAACTGCTGAGGATTATCAAGGAAGGATTCTGCACTGTGGTCCTGACATTCTCTAGAGCGCTCAGCTAGTAGAACAAGGCCTTTTCCTGAGTGAAAGACTTCAGGCTTCAGAATCCCAGCCTAGACCAAGTTATAGAAAGGACTGGGGAAAAGCAGACATCTTGGATACATGACTGACATCTCTGCTTGAAGTGTGTCTGAAATGGGTGAGCAGAGAAACTTAGTGTTTGGACGATTATGTACTTAGGATCAGATTCTGTCATAATGAAGCTGTTCTTGTGACTTGAAAGGGACCACAGAAACTGCAGGACTTGTCCAACTTTTCAGAGCAAGAATCTATTGACAGACAGTGGCAGATGGAGGATGAGTCTGTCAAATTTGTCTTATGATTGTGCTCGTCAAGTCTAACATTTTTTTCCTATATTAGTTATCAAAACAACAGAGTGATTTGAAGACCCAAGAAAACAAAATCTAGTCCTAAAACAATGGCATTAAAAAAAGTCAGAATCCAGAGTAATAGTAAATAATCCATATTTACATGTTTGCTATTAACCTAGAGATGACTGTATATAATCATTGTGAATCCGAATAAGAACAAAACAAGGTAAATGTTAGTGAGCAGATAAGACAAGGAAAAGGACAAACTAGGATAAGAAAAAGTGATCTAGGAGATGAATTTTCCACCCAAAGATTAAAAAATAAATGCTATATTCAGCTATAGGATGCTAAAGAATTTTCCTGAAATGAAGAGACAAACACATCTACATATCAACAGAACACATGGATACTGTGGCTTCCGAGCATACCTCATCTCTCGGGTTCCCAGGTAGATAAAAATGTACTGGCTCCAGCTGGCCTCAGCCCTCTCCATAATGTTGGTATTAGTTCCTTTTCTCAAGATGATAACAAAATATCTGACAAACACAACTTAAGGGAGGAAGGATCTACTTTGTTTGGCTCACAGTTTCAGAAGGCTTAGCCTAACATAGTGGTGGAGACCTGGCAGGATGACTCTCTTATGGTAGGGCTATATAGCAAAGCCCCTCATATCCTGGCCAATCAGGAAGCAAAGACACAAGACCAGAGCTAGTGGTGAGTGTTATATAAGCGCGCGCGCGCGCGCGCGCGCACACACACACACACACACACACACACACACACACACACACACACACTAAAATATGGGATCCATATATGAGAAAAAACCAGGCAGCATATGTCTTTCTGAGTGTGGCCTATTTGAGTTAACATGATTTCCTGTTCTATCCATTTTCCTGTTGGTTTGACAGATATGTCTTTAAAATTTTATTTTTGAGAATTTCATATATGTATACAAAGAAATGTGATCACACCTACCCCATTTCCCCCAAACCCCTATATATTCTCCATAAACGCTTCCCAACTTTGTCATCCTCCCCTTTTTATAACTTAAGTCTTGTAAATGCTGCACCTATGTGCATAGGTTTGGGACCACCCACAGAAACATGGGAAACCTACCAGTACCATAACCTCAAAAAAGAATGATTATCTCTCTTACAACCATTACCTGCTGCCAAAGGGGTGAGGCTGGAGTCACCTATGCTGAGATCATGGCTGTCTTAATCTTGTGTAGGTCATGTGCAGGTAACCACAGCAGCTCTGAGTTTATCAATGAGAACCACATCATATCCAGAAGAGAGTACTCTGTAGCACTCCTCTCCATCCTCAGGCTTTTCCATTTTTTCTGCCTTCTCTTCCTCCATGTTAGCTGAGCCTGAGTGGTGTGTGTGTGGGGTTAAGGTAGATGCCCTGTTTATGGTTGAACACTCAGTCCCTTATTCTCAATACTTTGACCACTTGTGCATCTCAGCATTGACTGTTGTCCATTGCAAAAAGGAAGCTTTTCTGACAAGTTTGAGAACAGCCCAGGTCTGTCAGCACCAGGAGCTGGGCAGCAGGTATTTCTTGACTATTCCTGGCATGGCAGATCCCAGCTTGCACGCTGAGCCTTCCAAACCCATCAAGGAATGGTTGTGCCCTGGGGGAGACCTTTCAATTTGCGGCACATAAAGGAACAAATGCTTTAGGTACCATTTTCTTTGTGGTCACCCACAACTTCCCTGCCATTGCTCCAAAGTAGGAATTAGGTTCCTTACTGTACCAAAGACTGATTCAGTCAGGAAGCAGGAAGTGTCAGGCAGACATGCTGATGTAGGTACGCGTCTCCAAGTCAGTATGCTGTTCTCACCAGTAGGAGGCTGAGGGCAAGTGCAATCAAGCAGAAGGCTGAGAGGGTCAGTCCATAATTGGGAGAAGAGTTGGAAGAGGGACCACAGGCACAGCACAAAAAGTGACTTGCCCCATCGGCCCCTGGAGAGTCTTGGAAGTAAAGCAGCTGCACAGGAGGAGGACTGGCTGGTGGTGCCAGCTGGCGGAACATATTTTATACAGAATGTTACCTGTTGCTTTCCATAGCAATGTCTGCAACATTTCTTAAAAATAGAGTAGTAGCAGAAGCCGTCCTGTGCGTCCCCTGCTTCTTAGCAGCCATGCCTTGTTCTCAGCCGCAATGTGTGGAAATGCTTGCCTTGAGCTGATAATGTTTGTGGAAGGAGTTTAAAGGGTCAAGAGCCCTAACAGTCAAGAGGACTGCTGACATCTTTCTGTAATTCCATCCTGACAACAGTAATGCAGAGGGCTCTCACTGACTAGGGTCATGTAGTTGTCCTATGCTGCTCTGGCCTGAGTCTTCTGTGAGCATGAATCATAGATATTTTTTGTGTGTGTATGTGTGCATGTTTGTGGGGAGGTGGTGGTGGTGGTGGAAATGAGTGTGGAGACCAGAGGTCAACCAGAGGTATCATGTATCATTCCTTATACAATGTCTATCATATTTTATGAGGCAGTGTCTCTCACTGGTACCTGGGGCTTTGCCAAGTAGTCTAGGATGGCCGGTCAGTGATTCCCCAGGGATCTGCCTGTCTGAGCCTCCCCAGCACGAGGATAACAAGTGCATGTATCACGCCTAGCTCTTTCTGGGGATCTGCCTGAGGTTCTCATGCTTTTTCAATAAGCAGTTTACTGGCTGGGCTTCCCTTCCTGCATTGTATGTGTGCTTTAAATGTTCCCATTACTGAGGGAGGAGAGAGAAGGTGCTCCATCCCATCTCGATGCCACGGCTTACCTGATCAGTCTATCTCATCCTTCACATTAGTCTCAGTTGCTCACCCTACTTTCTGTTTCACTGGCCTCTATGCCGGCCTCTGTTCTTATGGGTCTACAGTTCTTGTATAAGGTTGAAGTCTTCTGTTCGTGGCAACAAAAGCTGGATGAGTGGCTGAATCTCCTTGTGCTCACTGTGGCAGGAGCCACAGCAGTTCCTGCTCTCAGAGCTGGATGCACAGGGCTCTGGCTTCCCAATTTCTACCCTGAGCCTCATCCCAAAAGAGCAGAGGGAAGGGAGACCTCTGACCAGTAAGTGAAAGGAAAGGATAGAAACCAGGAAACCAGTCAATGGATGCGCTTTGGACACTGTTCTCCCATGTGGCTTCTGACAGTGTTGCTGTTCTTTAGGAACTTGAGAACAGCTCAGGCATGCTGCCCTGCCTGTACTGCTCTCCTTCCTTGACTCAATTCCCTTTCTTCTTCACCTCTTTGTCCCTTGGCTTAAACACCATTGATATTCTGAACACATTTCTTTTTATAAATGGGTCCTGTCAATCAACAGTTATGGATGGAGCTAGGCCTGGTGGTACAGATATATAATCACAGGTATTTGGGAACTGAGGCAGAGGTATTGCAAGTTCAAGGATTGATTGGTCTACAAAGCAAGATTAAGAGCAGTCTGTGCTACTTAGTAAATCCTGCAACTAAATTAGAAAATATCAAAAGGGCTGGATATATAGATTGATGGTAATACACTTGCTTAGAATATGAAGGACCCTGGGTTCAATCCCTAGTACTATAGAAAGAGAGAAAGAAGAAAGGAAGGAAACACAAGAGGAAAAATGTTATAGGTAACTTGATATTTTGGCTACTAAATTTCAAAATCATACGAAGTTTATAGCCCTTTCTTTGTGCTGTTGTAGAGACACCAGCTGGGAGGCTTAGACAGCTTGTATTTGTTTCTTATAGTCCCCCAGGCTAGAAATACAAGTCCAGGCTCCCAGGCGGTCAGCTTCTTTGAGAGGGCTTGCTTACTTATAGGAAACAAAGGAGAATGAGAAACACAGAAGGGGTGAGGAGGGAGGCAAGGAAGAAGGGAGCAGAGAGGAGGTGGGGGAGAAAGAATGAATCTCATATCTTTTCTTCTCCTGTCAT